CTCAGGCAGTCACCTTTGAGTAAGGACTCCAACCTAAAAATCTGGGAGGAATTAAAACAACATTGGGACCATAGCAGATGCCCACCAATTCTAATTCTTGCAGCTGTGCTCCATTAGCTTTTTGTTTGTTTGTTTGTTTGTTTGTTTGAGTCTTGTTGTTTGGTTTGGTAAGCATTTAGATTAAAAAAAAAAAAAAGGCAAAAGGTGATGGCTGGTGAAACAGCTCAGGGATTAAGATACTTGCCACCAAGCCTGAGGACCTAAATTCAAGTCCTAGAACTTCCATAAAGATGGCAGGAGAAAACAAGAGTCCACAAAGTTACCCATACATCTTTCTGCACTCGGAAACACACACTCACATAATTTTAAAACAAAAAAAGTGAAAGTCCTTAAGGACACTTGTGGTATGTGTGGCCTGACCACCATTCCTGGTTTGTAGAGCACGTCCTGAGGACTTTAGCAACCAAGCTGACATATTCTCAGCATAAAGCCACAAAAACCACTGCTTAAGATTTCCTTTAGACTAGAGTTTGCGGAGACCTAATACAGGCCAGGCCAATACCTAGAACCTCGTGGACAGAGAGAATCATGACAAACTCCCGAACTCACCATCTTACCCAGGGGCCTCCGTCAGGTCTTAAAATAACCACATAGGACCCAGGCCCTAGCAAGTCCCACTGTACCACAAGAGCCAGGAAACCCACAGAGGACGCCTCCAAGTCCTATAGGACCCCATGCAGCCCAATGAGACCCGCACAGGACATGGGGTTAATCAGAGGCTCTGGCAAAGTCTATAAACATCAACTCACCATCTAGATGCTTCTCACTGCAGAATTCACTGCTAATAGAGCAAAGTCCACCAAATATCAAAGAACTTAAAAAATCCAATTAACTTCTATTCTTGAGATCCAACTAGCCACTGCAGGGTTTCTCTTTAATAATGGACTGCCATCAATAGGCTGACGTAGACAGCGTCTCCAGCAAGTGCTGTTCCTGCCAATGGAAGTTTGCCTGGTTCAGTGGCAAAAGTGGTCTACGTTTATTACCACACCCCAACCTTCCGGCTTTTGTATAATTTAGTTATGTGAGAAGGTATGTGGCAGAGAAAAGGATGCTTTTTTATTTCTAAAGGCTTCATCTATCTTTGTGATTGACTATTTTTTTTAAACAGGGTTGCCCAGGCTGGCCTCCAGTTTCTGAGCTCAAATGATCTTGTTTCAGTGTCATCAGCAGTAGCAAGTAGCATATACTACCATGCCTAGCTACGTTTAATAATAACCAACTCACAGAACTAATGAGCAGTTCTAGTTTCTGAAGCATAACGTACTGTGCAACACTCTTGCCATATGAACACTAAGACTGGGAGGACAACAGCAGACAACCGCAAACTGGCCTTCAACCTCAATGTATTTTAAATCCAATTTTGAACATCAAACAAACAAGGCAGCAAACAGTAAATCTGGTCATTAAAGAATAACACAGACCCAAACAAGCCTTGTTTTCAAACACAGATCAACTCCAACAGTTCTAGTCAATGACCTTGTGAACTTGAGGTGGAACCTACCAAAGGCCAGAAAGGACAGAAAGGTGGCCTTTCAGGGACAGGAGCATCCAGGGTGACCTTGGATAATTACCTTGAGCAATCTTCCACCTCTACTGTCAAGGCCTGGGATGGGGAGAAGGGGCTCCTATCCGTAGGTCTCTGAGCAGAATATTCCCACAAGGGACAAATATCCCCAGCTTTCAGAATCTCACATCTTACCATTTTGAAAAAGCCACTGATAACCTAGTACATGAGGCCCAATGTACCAAGAAAGACACTTTCTCCATATTACTTAAGATGATTAAGAAAGTCTAGAAGGTTGTTTATAATTTCTTTCAGAATAACATGGGAAGGCTCTCAGAATACTGGATCGCCCTCACCCAGAGGTTAGGCACTATGTTCCTGCACCCCACTTTATCCACAGGCGCCTGTAGGCCAGAGCATTCCAAATGGTAAGCTAACTGCCAGGAACAGTTCCTGTTTGGAACACATGTCTCTCAAATAGGATACTCATATGCATCACAATCATCTTAACTTTTCCAGCAACATCACAGGAACCTGATATACATTACCTAGAGGCCTCATTCTAACACACCACCACTCTACACAACTACACAGATACGATCTCACTCTGTAGCCCAAACCGGCCTGGAATTCACTCCTGTAGCTCAGATCTGTCTCACACTCAAACTCACTGCAACCCTCCTGTCTCGGCTGCCAAGTGCTGAAATTACAGGTGTGAGCTACCATGTCTGGATCTATACATGACTCTTATTTACTTATAAAATTTTCTTGGGTATGGCCATATGATATTTAAAACTTGGTAAGTGCCTGGCTGACAGCAATACTGCAAAGCCTGATCCACCTTCTGGTACACCCACTCTGTAAGATTTTCTCCTCTCAAAGTGTGCATAGGGTCTTGGGTTTTCATCCCAAAAAACAACTTAGTCAAGAAATGGCATACCGTATCCAAGGGTACACGGTAAAGTCTTTAGCCTCCTTCCAGAGGCTGCCTTGCTCTATCACTGGCACTTTCTCTGCTGTCCTTTAAGATGTCCTAGGAAAAGGAATGGGTTTCCAAATGGCAAGGGAGGGGGCCTGGACTGGGACACAGCCTGTGGAACCCCCCAAAGCAGGCCTAGCTGACTCCAGGCTTACGGAACCTGGCCGGAAGACCTGAAGGTCAGACCCGAGCTCTTCACCTCCCACCGGAACCCATTATTTGGCTTAGGGCACTACATTCTGGAATAGTTCGTTGTATAGCAACATATAAATGTTCTAACCCTTCAATGTCACTCTGTGTTTAAAAGTCCAAGCATGGGGACATGAAGAGCCACCACACTTAAAACAAATGCTCAGCCTTTTTTAAAATTCCACACAGCAAATTACAATAAAGGGTACACCAGAAGAGCAAATCAGAGGTAAGCTAAGTACAAGGTTCCCGAGTGTAGGGACACTTGACAAATACAACTTTCCAGTTTGGGCTATTCAGAAGCACAACTCAACCGACACCCAGTGCTAAGAAACTTAGGCTTGTTTTTTCCTGAGAAACCAAAAATTGAAGTGGCTCAAAATGAAACATGGAACTGGCCAGGTCAAGTATCTCTTAGGAATCCAAACAGCGCAAAGGTTAGATCACCTTATCACCAGCACTTTTAAGTGCAGCCTGAACCAAGCAGAGCTTCCCCAGGGCAACACACCCATTATTACCACCCCAGGTCTGTGTGGGAGCTAGGCCTCGCCAGAATGCCTGGCTCTCTCATCTTGAAACTTATCAAGTTTTCAGTGAACATCTCAGTACTTGCCCTAGTCAAGAGCAGCACGTTATCACCTCTTAATGTCTCCCACAGAAGCAAAAGCACATCTTACTTTTCCACAAACATTGTATTCTCCATGGCAGTCAGACTGACTGACTGACGGGGAAGATTTCAGAGAAGCAAGAACTCTTTCCATTTTAGGGGTGAAACAGGAGTGTGGGTGCTAGCTGCTTATCTATGCAATAGCCCCTCAATCCCCCTATCTACTCCTGAAGCGTGTCCTCCCCACTGGACATACCTCTGGCCTCTCTACACACCCTCAGGACAGGGAAAGAGGGAAGGTGAAGGTGCAGCCACTGACCTATGGCCAAGACGAGGGAAAGGCACAGTCCTGTAGGAGCTGGGGAGAGCAGGCAAGAGGCAGCTTGGAGGCTTCATGCCCTTGATACCCCTGAGTCCTTGGAGCCAGGATGAGCTACAACTTTGCAACTATCCTAAGACACCCCCCCCATAACATCAGGGTGCTGGGGGACTTGTGGGAAGTGTGAGGTTTGAACCCTTGGGCTCAGATAACGCAGGAACCCACATGCAAGAACTTCACTGCAAACGTCCAGGGTGGGCTTGACAGATCTGAACCGGCCCTAGATCTCCTAATGCCTAGTAATCTTCTCAGCAATTCTGGGGTCTAGTGTCTAGAGTCCAGGCCTCCTTGCCTTAAAGTTCCAACTATCATCCATGTTATCCCTGAGGACTTCCTAATAGTTCAGCCCAAGGCTTTCACCTTAAAGTGACCCACCTTTGGTTCTGTTTGTCCTGAAGCCTATCTATATTCTAAACCTTCCCCCCTCACATTTCACCCTCCAGGCCCCAAACTGCTCAAAGAACTTTGGCCAGCCTTAGGTTCCCAGCTCTCCACAGCTGATTTGTCCCTGAGTCCTGACCTTCCTGTGGCCTTGTCTTAGTGTCCTGGCCCTCCGTGGGGTGGCCTAGGGGTCTTATTCCTCCTCTGTATCTATTTCAGTGATTCTGGCATTTTCTAGGTCCTGTCAGGTCCTGAGAGCCATTCTTCCTCAATGACCTTTCCTAGAATCTTGTCAGGTCTCTAGTGCTAACCCTACCCTAGTGTCCATTCCAAAGGTCGGGTCGCCACCTGTCCTGGGGTCCCAGCACTGAGAGATCTGCCCAGTCCTAGGGACTGTTCAGTGACTGGCCCTCAGTAATTCTGGCCTGGTGTGGATCCAGCCTGGTCCAGACTCCTGTTCTTCCGGGGTCCTGTTCCCTGGAATCCTCCCTGGTGCCAGGTCCAGCCGATCTGGGCTCCTTGTCTTCCCTAGTTCCTGTTCTCTCAGGGTCCAGACTGCTCAGAATCCAGCCTGGCTCGGTGTCCTGCCAGGTCTAGCATTCTGCCCGCCCCTGGTCCAGGGTCCAGCCTGGTAAAGGCTCCTGTCTGCCCCCGATTCTGCCTGGTCCAGGTTCCTGTCCTCCCGGGGTCCTGATTGTCCCGAGATCCAGCATGGCCCAGGGTTCTGCCCTCCCGGGGTCCAGACCTCCCAAGTCCTGGCCTTCTTGCAGGCTTTTAGGGTCCCGCCTCCCGGGCCTGCCACGGGCGCTGGGCTCGCAGCCTTCTGCCGACCACGGGCCGAGGCCGCGGCCTGAGGAGCGGGCGCGCGGGCCAGGCCGGGCGGGGCGGGCTCACTGACCTGCGTCTCGGGCGGCGGGCGAGCGGGCGCACGCGGGGGCTCGCCGGGAGGGGGAGGGGGGCGCCGCTCCCTCTGGGTCCCCCCCAAGAGGAGGAGGAAATACCCGTGCGGAGTTTAAAACAAAGAGGCGGAAATGCCCGAAACCAGCCGAGTGCGGAGTCGGGGGCGCCGCGGTTGGAGCATGCGCAGTGTGTGCCTCAGCTCCCACCTCGCAAGCGGGAGGGGCGGGGCCTCTGAAAGGCGGAGCCTACAGGGGTGGGGTCCAGGCGGGGCCAGAGGGCGCAAGCGCGTGCTGGCCGCGTTTGGCTCGGAAGCCGGGGCCGGGAGACTGGCAGGGTGGAGCTCGTGGGCGTGGCCACAGGGTGAGAGGTGGGTCAGAAGGCGTGGTCAGAAGCAGCAACTTGGAGGAACTCGGTCCCGCAGGAGCTCAGGACGCTGGTGACGGGAAGCAAACTTGAGCACCTGGACCAAGGGTTTCCTCCGGTAGAAGCCTTGTTTTTACATTCCTGTCCTTCCTAGGACGCAGCCAGGTGCGCGGGACACTGTGGACAGAGAGAGGCCCTTCTGCTCGACTCTCGGACCGTGGGAACCCACGGTCCAACTGTATGTAGTGATCAGTGGTCACTGTAACCGGGAGAAGGCTGAAACGGAAAAAAGTCTGTTCTTTTGTTGTTATTATTATTTATTTATTTTTCGGAGAAAGGATTCCGCTGTGTTGCCCTGGCTGTCCTAGAACTCGCTTTGTAGACCAGGCTGGCCTTGAACGCAAGTAGATCCTCCTGCCTGTGCCTCCCGAGTGCTGAGTCTGAAGGACTGCGCTGCCACTCGTTCTTAGGGAACGAAGTGGTTTTGGCAGCGGTATACTAGACAGGCGGTGGGACAAGGAAAGAGCTGGGGCCGGGGGGACGTGCTTTGCAAAGAATCCAGCAAGGGCCTGTGTACAATGGAGTGAAAAGGGGCTGCTGAAAAGTCCTGCTAGGATCGTGCGGATGGTCTCCTGGAGGGAAGGCCCCCTGGGAAACAGAACCGGGACCCTGGAAGGCAACTATGCTCTACAGAAGGCTGACAGCATTTGCTGTCACAGAAGGACGGCAGATGAGGGAGGAGATTGAGCGATCGTCCCAGAGTAATGGAGGATGTGGTGTTGGTATTCGAGATAGCAGAGAGGTACTGTTGAGCAGACCATGAGCAGCCCTGGGCTTAGGGCTCAGATCCCAGAAAGCCATGTAACTCGTTGAGGGTTGGTCTGGTGCTCTGTGTATTCAGATGCTAAATACTGGCCCTCAAGATCTGTTTGCCATCCACAGAGTACATTCTCACGTACACCGAATGATGTTGTGTAAACTTTGATCCCCAATATTCTCTGATTGGTTGAAATAAAGAAAGGCTGGAGCCTGTGGCTGGGCAGAATAGAGAGAAGCAGAGCTTCAGTGCGGGGCTCACTGGACGGTGAGAAGGAAAGAGCAAGGAGAAGGGAAATGGAGAAAGAGGACAGGGCCTGATGGAACACATCCAGACCAGACAGGAGGACTTGGGAAGAAACTTGGCAAGGAACTTGGGAAATGCAGTTGAAAAGTAGCCAGACTAGCTTAAAAAATTAGTTTAAATTGTACCTGCCCAGTTATTGCGAAAAAGCTGTTTAAATAAATTGCTGGGCCTTTGTCTCAATTATTTGGGAACTAGCTAAATTAAAAACAAAACATGAATTAATATGCTTTCTACAACAGCCCTCAACCACCTGTTTGCAAGTGGGCTTTTGCATGCCTTAAGTGAGACCTTATCCAGATGTCGCTCCAGGCTCAGGATCCAAACATTGCTTCCATGTCTCGCCATCGGGGACGCCTTCAGGAAACTAACTTTCCACAGCCTCTGGTCTTTCCTAGAGGCTATTGCCCACTTGAGGCCCCCACCTTCCAACACTGAAGTCTTCCTCTAGCCATCAGCTGACCTGTCAACCAAGTGTCCCTTCCCCAGTCCTCACCTTGTATACCTATTAATGAATAGCTTCCACCTAGTCTCCTTGTATCTTTCTTGCTTCCTGGTCATTTTCACCACAAAATAGTGGCTTTTAGAAAGCATTAGTTGGTAAATGTTCCCTGCTCAAAACCCTCCAGTGGCTTTATCCAGAGCAGAAACCAGAGGGTTAGAGTTTTTGGAAACTGGAAGAGAGCTGAAATCACACAATGGCCTTGTTCACAGGTACATGTATGTTCTTGTTCAGCCAAGCAAACGGGGGGACCTGAAATTATGGCACTCAGCCTGATAAGGGAGGGAATGCCTTTCTCCTTACTGCTGTCTCCAGCCAGTCCCTCTAGGGTGCTGGTCCGTCCTCTGTCCTCTGTGAGGAGTCTCCTCTTTGCTAATCTTCTCATCGCCACAAACTCCCAGTGAGACTGCTGTCTTAACACAGAATAAACTCACTCCACACTTCTTTTAAAAATGTTTTAAGAATATTTTTAAATTTTATGTGCATGGGTGTTTTGCCTGCATGCATGTCTGTGTACCACACGCATGCAGTTTCCTTGGAGGCCAAAACAGAATATTGGATCCCATAAAACTGGAGTTACAGACAACTGTTAGCTGGGTTTGGTATGGAAATCAAACCCAGGTCCCATAGCGCCTGAGTAGAGTGTGCTAGGCAGCAAAATTGCACAGAGAAAAGAGTAAAGCTCTTCCCAAGTCCTGTCTTGTTGCTGGTTCCTGCTCCCTCGGGATGTTGTCCTTGTGCTCACGTAAAAATCAGTAGCTCTCCTTGATGCCTCTGGGCATACCAGACACCTGCACCTCAAGGCCCTAGAGGAGCTGTTTCACCCACAGTGGCTGAAACTGTGGGAAATGGAGGCACAGCTCTAGCCCTCACTATAAAATAGGCGTGAATATACAAAACTGTGTGACCCTCCTACCCAACAACTAAGACACTGGACAAAATAAGCCAAATATTTTGTCAGACAATCACCTCTTGGGCCCAGAGAAAGAAGGGTTAGTTGGATGAACCTTGGGAGAAGCCAACAGAGCCCAGATAAGAGCTCTGGATCGGCACAGTGCTTCAAAGCCCTCGGCTTAGCATCGCTAGTCATCCACAGGAACTTCTAAAGCTGCGGAAGAATGAGGAAAAGGAGAAGGGGAGAGATTTTGAGTCTATCAGTCAGGAAGCCCAGGTGGTCAGAGGCATCCAGAAGGCTTCCAGCAGTGGGATGGGTTAAAAAAGACTGCCTGATAAAACCAGCAGGCCTGGAGAGGACTGGTAACTCAGCCTTGACTGTGATGTTGATAAAACTCCATGACCCAGTGGCACAGAAGTATTCACAGTGCTGCATAGGGTGAAAAACTCTGAGGGAAAAGGTGTGACATCCACATCTAGTCAGCACTGGCGGCCAGAGACACAACGGAGAAATCCGACTCTCAAAATACACCTAGAAACAGCACTGGAGAGCTGAGTAGTGTACAGAAGCAATGACCTGTGCTCCTGATGCTCAGGCTGAAGGAAGACGAGAAGACAGGCAGGAAGTTAGACACAGTCAGGCCATGTAACAGTGTCTATTGACAAAAGAAGAGCCATTGACTATCATCAAGAAGAACAGTAGCAGCTGGATATGGTGGTACACGCCTGTGATCCCAGCACACACAGAGGCAGGTGTGGTTCTCTGTGAGTTCAAAGCCAGCCTGGTCTACAAAGTGAGTCCAGGACAGCCAAGGCCATACAGAGAAATACTGTCTCAAAAAACAAAAACCAAGGGGAAGAAGGGAGGGTTTGGGAAGGGAGGAGAGAGGGAGCTACAGGGGGGATACAAAGTGAATAAAGTGTAATTAATAAAAAAACTAAAAAAACAACCAAAAACCCAAACCCCAAACCCAAAACAAACAAACAAACCACAAAAAGATTAGAAGTAGCAGATCCGGCATGTTCAAACCTTGGATACATAAAACCTAGCATCACAGGACTCTTGAATTTTTAAAATAATGAACGATAACTGGATATTTGTCTTTCCTTCTATGTGAATTGCACCTCAAGATAACCACAGACTTGTGATTCTTCCTCCTTATAATAATCCAGCTAAAAATCAAAAATAAAATTGTGGCAATAGCTGGATTGCAGCTTAGTTACTGAGTACTTGTCTACGTCATGTGTAAGGCTATGGTGATCCTCAGCCCTTGGGGGGAAAATATGCAATTAAAATAGCTGTATTGTATAGCAACTCTTATTGACGATAGCATTGCCAAATGACAGGTGCTCTGTGCCTCTGATGGACAGAGGACACAATCAGATAAAGGCTTGCCAGAAATCCCACCTGAATCTAGGGCACAGACAATCTGGACTTCTCTCGGTTAGGCTTCCATTGCTGTGATGACCACCACGACCGAAGCAACTTGTGTTGGAAAGGGTCTATTCCATCTTGCAGCTTGCAGCTCACCATCTAGAGAAATGAAGGCTGCTGGATGAAGGGAACCAGGCCGGGCGGAGCACATGCTGCAGCAGTCACATGAGAGGATCCTGTTTTGGCATCTGGTGATGTCAGAGATTTAACATCCATCTTTAGACAGACTTTATAAAATAATGGTGTTGTGGTTGTTGTTTAGATGGCCTCAACTTTTATAACAAATACTAAAAATGGAAGAAAAATGATATGGCCTCTGAGACTTCCTCAGGACAATGGAGAGGAACAGAGGAGGGAGGGATATGGACATACTAAGACTTGCCACTCACTGATCGTTGCTAGAGCATTCTCATTCTCTCTCTCCCTCCCTCCCTCTTTCTCCTATTCGCCCCTCCACCTTTGTCTTTGAACTTTTCCATAATAAAATAGTCTAACAAGCCAGGTCTTGGTAGTACAGGCCTATAATACTTACAAAGCTAGGAGGATCACAAGTTCAAGGCCAAATTAGGTAACTTAATATGATCTTATCTCAAAATACAAAGTAAAATGACAGCTGGGATATAGCTCAGTAGTGGAGCACTTGATTAGTATGTATGAAGCCTGGGTTCAGTCCCCAGAAGTACAAACAAAATCCCCAAGCAGGCCAGTGCGACGGCTCAGTGGCCCAAGGTGTTTGCCAACAAGACTGACACTTAATCCCTAGGCTCCAAATAATGGAAGGAAATAATAGACTCCAGTAAGTTGTCCTCTTGTCTTCACATGTGTGCCATGGCCCATACCTACATTCACACAAGCAAAATGAAATAAAAATAAACCAAACAAAACACTGTTAACAGCTAAGTTATAATTAACTTATAGAGAGACTGAAAAGAAAAATGTGGAAGATATTAACTTAACTATATCTATCTGAAACTGCTCATTATACTGAATATTAGCAATGAAAATAGTAAGCTTGTCACTGGGGGCCATGTCTGGGTCCATGGTCCTTCTGCAGCCAGGGGCTGTGCTGATGTCCATGCCGTGTTACCACCACAGGCCACATGGATGTCCAGGACCTGTGCTGCCACTTGAAGCCATGCTGTTGTCCATGGGCCATCTGCTGCCTGAAGCCATGTTGATGTTAGGTGGCCTATGCTGCTACCTGAGGCTTTGTTGTACTGCCACTGGAGACCATGCAGAGGTCCATGCACATGCTGATGCCCGAGCCGTGTGGAAATTCATGATCTGTGCTCCTGCTGATAGCAAAAGGCAAGGAAGCGACTTTAGCCATGGTACTGATGACTGCAGACTGACGGTTGAGAAAGAGGGGTATAGAACACTCTCTGACAACATTTACTCTCACCCACCAAGAGAAGTAGCAGCCCTAGACTGAAAGCTGTTGAAGAGAACTCTTAAAAATTGTGTGAAGGATGCTGAAGGGTAGCTGTCCGCAATTAAGGGCTTCTGGTGGGGGTGCAGGTGGAGAGGGACTCAAGTTTTCCTTAAGGCACTGGCAGCTAGGAGATTGACCAAGCTGTAGTGGGTCTATGGGCAACACAAGTTGGAGGTCCTCCTCCTCTTTTTCTTTTTGAGAGGAGGTCACAATGGTGGGGATGGACCTGGAAGGATTGGGAAGTGAGTGTGATTGGGGTTCATAATGTGCGAAATTCCCAAATAATCAATAAAAATATTCAATAAAAATATCAATAAAAATATTATTAATAATATTTTTATTATTAATAAATAATAAAATAATCAATAAAAATATTATAAAAGGAAAATGAGCTTTATCTAATAGATAATATAGGATCCTTCATGAAACAAATAGAAAATATATAGGCTGCATATTTTCAGTATATAGAAAGAATGTGCAAGCACTGACAAGAGGCTTGTTTTGGATTGCTTTTTATTTTATATAGTGTGGGTATTTTGCCTGCACATGTGTCTTTGCACCATGTGTGTGCAGCGGGCTCAGAAGCCAGAAGGGCATGTTGGATCCTTGGAAACTGGAGTTACAGACGCCATGAGTGCTGGGGACCGGTGGATCAGTCAGGGTTCTCTAGAGGAACAGAGCTGATAGAATGAACAGATATGTAAATGGTATTTATTCCAGTGGCTTTTATAGGCTGTGCTGCAGCTAGTCAAACAATGGCTGTCTCTCAGTGGAAAGTCCAAGAATCCAGTAGTTTGCTCAGGCCATGATGCACAAAGAATCCTTGTCTAAAAATAAACAAACAAACAAACAAACAAACAAAAATAAGCAAGAGACTCCACAATCCCTCACTTAGATACAGAACTAGGGGAAAGGAAGACAAATGTCTATACAAAAGCTATCCATAAGTACGAAGAGTAGCAACATTGTCAATGGTCCTAAAGTGGGAACATTCCACGTATCAATCAATTGATGAGCGAATGTATGAGTGAGGAATGGATACAGTGTGGTGTATACATAGAGCAAAACCTCATTTGGCAGTAAACAGAAGGTCCCTGCCACAGTGTGGGTAACCCTGCCAGCACTACAATAAAGGAAAGAAGCCAGTCACAAGAGTGTGACAGAAGAACCTACGTTCTGTAATTCCATTAACAGTTCCGAACAGGTAACTCCATGGAAACAGACCAGTGTGGTCGAGAGTAAATGTGTAACTGTGAACGAGCACCAGGATTCTCTGAAGTGGCAACACAGAACTCTGGGTGAGGCGGGGCATCGTAATGCACACCTTTAAGCAGAGGCAGGCAGATCTCTGTGAGTTCAAGGCCCGCCTGGTCTACAAAGTGAGTCCAGGACAGCCAGGGCTACACAGAGAAACCCTGACTCAAAAAACAAAACAAAACTATTTGAGTGGCAACTGCATTAAACTCTAAAACTTGTGCATTTTATTTTTTAATTTTTAAAAGATTTATCTATTTTAAGTATGTAAATGTTCTATCTACATGTACGACTGCTCGCCAGAAAAGAGCATCAGATCCTCACAGAGGTGACTGTGAGCCGCCGAGTGGCAGCTGGGAACTGGACTCAGGACCTCTGGGAGATCAGCCCTCTTAGCCTCTGAGCCATCTCTGCAGACCTGTTTTTTTTAGGTTTTTGAGGCAGGCTTTCTAGCCCAGGCTGGCCTCCAGCTCTGTGTGGCTGAGAATGACTTTTGAACTACTGATTCCCTCATTTCCACAGTCCAGATGTTGGCACCATGCTCAGACCAACCTGTTCACTTTAATTTTATCAGTTTTTATTCCTGTGTGTGTTTGTGTGTATGTATGTGTATATGTGTGTGTGTGTGTGTATGTGTATATGTGTGTGTGTGTCTGCGCACGCACGCACGGGCGTGTACACACTACAGGCTACATGTGAAGATCAAATGACAACTTCTTCTTTCAGGAGAGAATTCTCTGCTTCCATCTGATGGAGAAAAAGTCTGTCTTGTTTATTCTGCAGTGCATATCTCAGGCTAGCTGGCATGGGAACTTCTTCTATCTCCTTCCCATATCATCCCAGGAGTGCTGGGATCACACACACAACAACTCTGGTTTTTTAACATGGGTTTTGGGATCAAACTCAGGTTTCATGGGCTTTTATCTAACTTGCTGGCCCCTCTGAGCACTTTAAATGGCTTTCGTATGAATTATATCTCAGTAAAGCTGTTCTTTAAAAAATACACAAAGGAAACTATAAAATATTTAGGAATAGCTGGGTGTGGTGGTACACACCTTTAATCCCAGCACTTAGGGAGGCAAAGGCAGGCAGATAGCTGTGAGTTTGAGGCCAGCCTGGTCTACAAAGTGAGTCCAGAACAGCCAAAGGTACACAGAGAACAGAGAAACCCTCTCAAAAAAAAAAAAATGTATATATATATATGAGAGAGACTGGCTAAAAAATAAAGTATTGCCTACTTACTCCCCTGGAAACAACAATAAAGTAAAACAACTAAACACACACAGCTTATTGCATAAGCCATGGCCATATTCACATAGTGATTTCAAAACCCGTTCACATTAGATCCTTTTGGAAGCTAGCTCACTCTCCATAAAGACCTCATGCCTCTGTACAATCCCTGTCCTCAGAATAGGGTAGTTCCAGCCAGGTTAGGAGTTTGTTTCGTAGACTTTGAACACTGAGGTTGAGTTGCTGCCACGGTTAGGGGAGATTGTCCTTTGCCTCCTGGAACGAAGGGGGCGTAGATTTCAGAGTATAAATCAGGTTTCCCTCTGGAAGGGAGATAAGGAGGCCAGTGCAGTCTGCGGTTGGGGGACAGTGTTCTAACCAGGATTCTTCTGAAATGAACCTCATTGTGATGCAAACATTATCAGAGCAGCTGAGGAGCCATGACAAGGTCGGCTGCTTTTGCCTGGAGTGTCTGAGTTTTGTCTGTACCTGGGAATCTCCTGTTCCCATTACTCACTGTGTGACACCCTGGCAGGCTGGGATGATGAACAAACCAAACCCAGTTTCTTCAGACTTCTTATTTACATGTGCGCATTCCACACTACACCAGGGACACTCTTTAAATAATCATGGTCTTGCTTACTTATTTTATGTTAGGAGTGTTTTGCCTGTATGAATATATGTGTACCGCATGCATGCCTGGTGTTGCTTGAAGTCAGAAGAGGCATTGCAGCCCCGGAAACTGAAATTATGAATGGCTGAGAACCACCATGCTGGAAACCAAACTAGAGTCCGGTCGGGAGCATCACGTGCTCCCGCCTGAAGAGCCATCTCTCCAGCCCTACAGAGACACTCCACATCTGCACGTCCTTAAAAGCGAGAAGCTCCTGACCACCCATAAACAGAAAGGCAGATAACCATTTCTATACACATGACGGACAGGTCCATCTCACATTGCTTATTGAAACCTCGATGTTATGAAGGGGTAGAATGCATTAACACAAACTAAATTCCAGTTTCAATGTAGATGACAAGGAATAATATAAACACCAGATTTTGTACAGAAAGAAGTGTGGGTGCATGGTTGATTAGCATGGCCTGTGCAAGGGTCTGTGTACGGTACCACAAACACACACATACTCAATACTATCTCACACCATGCGTAAGCAGAAAATTACTAATAATATACACACACACGAGAAAACCGAAGACTTCACTTCTTTGAGAGATTAACACATCTGAAGCCACACCACCCTGGGGTGGGGGCTACAAGTTGGGCTATAGACACATTCTGGCTTCCATCCTGGGGCTTATGAGAGCCTTGGGGCTCGATGGAAAGAAGTGGACACCTGGGGCCTTACTATAGGGACCAACTAGCGGCCACATAACAGTGCTTAGAGACCTCCCTCTTAAAACAAGAGGCTCACATTCTAGCAATGGAACCCTTCTGTGGCCATGAGGATGGCAATGAGCTCAAGGTACCTAAGAGTCCTATCCTGATATACTGATATAGTCTCTGCTGGGAGTGGGCATCCTGAGTAATCTCCCAGCAGGCGGGTCTTGGTTATATTAGTGAGGCCCAAGTGAGTCACTGGGCAGACAGAGCATGGAGGCATGCTGCTGGAGCCAGATAGGTCTGAGAGGCTCTACACAGCTGTATGTGGGTGTCTGACAGCCTGGGTGGAGGAATGGCCCACAGCTGAAGAGCTTGTCTTTCCTCCACCCTTGTTTTTCCAAGATAGTCATTACCTAAATATTTGAAATAGATAGATAGGGGCCCTTGCACTCAATATCCCCGACACTCCCTGGGAGAAGCAGATGAACACCAAGTAAATAACTAGGCAGAGCTCCTGGCCCCATCTTGTCTCAAAGAGTATTATTCCTAGTAGTATCACAGGGGTCTTTGCCTCAGGCTCCAATGGGAGCAATTACTTAATTTTTGACAAGATACTATTTGGGGAAGACAAACTAGACTGAGAATCTTTTCTTAATGTTGGTTTCAGATGCTGGAAGAAATTTCAGTTTGGATTAAAAAGAAGAGAAAGACACTGAGCATAGATTTCACCAGGACTTAGGGTGTTGAATGTTAAGCCCCTGACTAAGAAAATGCCAGGCTTCCTTCTGTGGTCCCCAAGAACATCTCCCATGTGTAACTCTCTCTAAGGTGTGAGTATGGTAACTTGTTGAGATTTAAGCAAAATGCTTACATTGAAACAGGAGAGTGTAAAAGTCACCATTTGTGACTGTCTCTGACATGAACTGATTGGCCTTCTCTTTGATCACCTCCCCCTGAGGAGGAAGCAGCCTTACCTGGCCACAGAGGAAGACAATGCAGCCACTCTTGATGAGACCTGATAGACTAGGATCAGAAGGAAGGGAAGGAAGACCTCCCCTATCAGTGGACTGGGGGAGGGGCATGGGTAAAGAAGGAGGAGGGAGGGTAGGATTGGGAGGGGAGGAGGGAGGGAGCTACAGGGGGGATACAAAGTGAATAAATTGTAATTAACAAAAAAGTAAAAAAAAAAAAAAAAGTCACCATTTGTAAGCAAATGCTGATTCTATGTCACAGGATTTCTTCCAGTTAAATTCCCTGTGCTGAAATAATTGTTACACACACACACACACACACACACACAGGGCAGGGGCAGAGAGGACGGAGCACCTTTCTGTTCTTTCCCAAGGTGACAAGTGTCAAACAGCACAGACTTGACAGGCCGCTGGTGACCTGTTCATCTCCCTAAGCCTCTCTGGCTTTGTTCCTGTTCTTTTATGTGTTTCTGGACTTAGCTTGACATGGCTATCTCCCATATGTCCACCTTCATGGCCATATGATGGATAGTATCAACGTAACAGAGACCCTCCGTGCCACCTTCACAATCCACCCTCTCCCACCTAGTCTCTGAGCCCTAGCCACTACTAATCGGCTCCCCAGTTTTAAAGTGTTGTCTTTACAAAAATGGTATCTATTTCATTGGTCTACTTTTGGCTTCTGTGATAAAATGGTTGAGTCTTCCAAGAAGAGAGGTTTGTCTGGTACACAATTCTGGAGACTCAGGTGTTTGGCACAGTTATCATGTCAACTCAGGTGAGTGAGTACCTTATGGTGAATGGTGTGGTAATGAAGGAATCATTGCTAGAGGGAGTGATCACACTGGCAGACAGGAAGCCCAGGTGACATAATGGGCTAAGCTTGCTCCTCTCTTACCTTCCCCACCCTTTTCTTCCAGTATTGAGGTTGAACTTGGGACCTTGCCTGTCCTAAATAAGCATTCCATCACTGAGCTAAGTCCCTAGCACCTAAGCTTCTCTCTCTCTGTCTCTCTCTTTTCTTTCTGAGACAGGGTTTCTCTGTGTAGCCTTGGCTGTCCTGAACTCATTTTGTAGACCAGGCTTGCCTTGAACTCAGAGGTCCACCTGCCTCTGCCTCCTGGAGTGCTGGGATTACAGGCATGTGCCACAGGGCCCAGATGCAAGCTTCTCTTTTTAAACAATAATTTTTGAGAACCAACTTAGGATCCCGTGAGAATTGGAGAACTGTGTGTCTTCCGAAAGCAGCACCTCAGATGATCCAAAGATTTCCAGTAGGCCTCATCTTTGAAAGCCTCTTCCATCTCAACATCACCACTCTGAGCGCAAAGCTTCCAGCACAGAAACACTCGGGAAACACACACAAATCATAGCAAATTATTGCAAATGGAATCACACAGTATATAAGTTGTAAGGCTCGATTTTACCCCTCACTCTGCCTAGCTATCCAGGTTGCTGCACGTGTTAGCTCTTCACTCCTGAGTAACATTCCATGTCGTCTATAATGCAGCTCACTTGACCATTCACTGACTGAAGGACACCTTGATGTTTACACTTTTTTTTGATAATCACAAATAAAGCTGCTACAGGTTTTTATCTCTCATACTGATGACTGCAATGGCTGGGTTATTTGATAACTATATTCTTAGCTTTATTAGCAACTTCCAACTTTGTTTTCTATAGCCTTGACAGCATTTAGAACGTGCAGTATTTTTATTTAGCACTCTAAAAAGAAATATGGTATTAGCCCATTGTGGCTTCTTATTTGTTTGTTTGTTTTTGAGACAGGGTTTCTTTGTGTAGCCCTGGATGTTCTGGAACTCACTCCATAGACCAGGCTGGGCTCAAACTCAGAAATCCACTTGCCTCTGCCTCCACAGTGCTGAGATTATAGGTATGTTCCATCATTACTGTAGCTCATTGTGGCTTTAATTTGAATTTTACTGGTTAGCTAATAAAAGTAAGTAAGTCATTAATGCTTATTTGCCATCTGTGTTCTCTTCAGTCTTTTTCCCATACCCTTAACTGGATTTGGAATAACACCTTTGTTAGATATGTGGTTTGCACATATTTTCTTGCAATCTCTGCGCATAAAAAGATTTGGGACAGGTGGCTGTGGCACACACCTTTAAATCTAGCACTCAGAGGGGCAGAGGCAGGTGGATCTCTGTGAGTTCTAGTTCAGCCTGCTCAACAAAGCGAGTCCAGGACAGCCAAGGCCACACAAAGAAACCCTGTCTTGAAAAACCAAAAACTAGATAGATAGATAGATAGATAGATAGATAGATAGATAGATAGATAGACAGACAGATAAAGTTACATTAACCTTATAGGCCAATTCAGAGAAAACAATATTAGCTGACATGTGGAGTTTTCCAGTACATGAGTAAGCTATGCTTGTTCACTTCTTTAGGTCTTTGTTGGTTTCTTTCATTAGCGTTGTACAATTTTTAGCATATAAGTGCTGTACCTGTTTATAGCTGAGTATTAGCTTTGATGAGATCATGAACATATTGCTTCTCACTTTGGTTTTCCATTTTCCACACTGGTAGTGTTTAGGAAGGCAGCCGTTGCTTGCGTCCTGATCTTACCCTTGATAACTTTCTTGAACTCACCCACTCAAAACAGGGGCCCTAAAAGAGTAGACGGAGGTGGGTCACAAATTTTCTTAAACAGAGATGTGGCAATACAGGAAGTGACAGAGGTGATGGCCCCACTTGGTGGTAGGCTTCGGTGCTACCTAAACCAGCAGCTGGTGACAGGCAGGTTCCCACCTAAGCTAGGGCCCTGAACAGTGAAGCCTGAACTGCCCTCACAGTCTCCCAGGTAAAATGTCAGGAAATCAAAGTCCCAAGCCCAAGGTGGCTCCAGGACAAAGGGGAAGTGAAGAGGGGGGCAGGTCTTCAGGGTGACTGCAGACTGTGGTCTGAGGGGTAAGCAGGGGTGAGACAGATGGAAAAGGAAAAGGGCAGAGAAGAGGGCAAGGACCACGGCCTTCTCATGGGTCTCAGAGAAGGACTGCCCTTTTCAGGGTATCACCAGGGTTTTGCTGCTTCCTGGACATGACTTCACCCCCAAATGGGAAAATCCACCTGACTTGCACAGATCTGACTTGTCATCCCTGTATGGTTCACAGATGGCACCATCCAATATTGATAAACAACAGGAAAATTGGAAGGTAGAGGCCAGCCTAGGCTACACAAGTGAGACTCTCAAAACCCAAATCTCTAAGCCCAAGAAATGAACAAAAAGGAACAGCAATCTGGAGGGCGAGACCATAGGGTTGTGTTTGAAGGAGAAAAAGCCTCCTCACCCAGCTTTTCCCCTGCTTGGCCGGTCCCCCTATCCCCCCAGAACACAGCCTGTTCCGCCCCACCAGCTCTTCACTCGGGACGGGGCGGTTGACACACTGGGTTTCTCTTCAACCAGCCAGGCCAAACACAGCGGCAAGGGTCTGATGACTCTTGTCATCTGCTTCAGCCCACAGTCAGATGGCTTCCGACCTCTGCCAGGCCTCTTTCTAATTACAGAAACCAACTGCCCCTACCTACTCAGCCCAGCTGTCTCCCGGGAGCAAAGACAAATTAAAGAGCCTTGAGTGTGGCAGGACGCTGCCTACCCGAGGGCAGGGGTGGCGCAGCCTGGCTCAGCCTTTCCTCCTCCTTCACCCCGCCCCTCTCTCCTAGGAGGAGTCTAACTAGACAGGCCTAGATTGGAAAGCAGATTGCAATCTCTTCCTTCTCCTCCTCCAGGTTGGCCTCAGGCTTTTCGAGGCTCTTTCTTAGGACTGCAAGAATTTGGGGGAACTTGCCAAACTTTGCTGAAGTAAAGACTTACCACCGCGGACGTCTTCCTGGTGCAGGCCACACAGGCTGTAGTAAAAATTACCTCTTAAGGGAATTTCTTCTCTTCGGCCTCTGTCGGAGAGTAATCCTGGCTTTTTCAATCAACTTGCTCTTCGGGGCGGGGACGAACCAGATAATTCCGCCCCGCCTGACCCCTGGGACATCCTACCCAGGCGCAGCGCTTTGCAGTGACACGCACGCGGGCAGCCTGCAGACACCAGGATGGCCGGAACTATGGAGGATGGGCTGGAAGCCTGGGACGGGTCGGGAACCTCCGGGACCGCCGGAGACGCATCGCCTGGTCCCCGTACCTATGCGCGCCGCTGGGTCTTCTTGCTGGTGGTCAGCCTCCTGAGCTGCTCCAATGCCATGGTACGAGGGCGCTGGGGCGAGCGGGGCGGGGTCTCTCCAGCAGCCCAAGCGCCAGTTTTTGCTCAGTCGCGGGAACCGACTTAGAGGTTGTAGGAAAAGGGGCAAGTGCCTGTCCCGCCCGGGATGGACCAGCCAGGGAAACAGGTCTGTTAGTCTCAGTGGTCTCAGCCCTGCAACTTGATTTCTCTTACTCTCCGTAGCCCCCAAATGCTGATGGGTCAGGGCCCCTCCCTCCTTCCCTCTTCATCCCGCCGCCGTGTGCAGGTGGACTGCAGGTGATCCTAGGCGCTTGAGCCTGAGTGGAGGAAGAGTGTGGAGCTGCTACCGTCTGCCGCTCAGAGCTCAACCTTGCACGTCTCTGCACGTGCGGCCGCAGCTGGATGGGCAGCACTGGTTGGGCCACGCAGCTCTGAGTTGTGACGAACAGCTCAGAGAGTACCAAGCGGGTGGGACCGTGAAGCCTGCTGGCCGCAGTGGGGTCCAAGGCTTTCCCTGTGAACCAGCAGCAGGCTGGTTCCCATAGCCTTTCCTTTTTCCCTGTTGTGCTGGTTGTGAAGAAACAGTTTTGAGTAAAGGTAGGTATAAGGTCTACTTTTTATTTTAATTGGGTTTCTTAATGCCTCTACTGCCCTTCTACCAACCCAACACTAAGTATGGGAGAAAGAAGGTTAGTGGGGAGAGGAAGCGGAGCTCTCTTTAGCTGTCCTTATGCAGACAGAATATTACCATGATACTAAGAATTGTCATCATCCTTGCTGGGGCCCCATTTTGACCAGCGGGTTCACGTTCAGCCATGCTTCCTGGAGCCCCTGCTCATTTGCCTGAGCTGGTTCTGCGAGAGCAGCCCAGCAGGCAGGCACAGCAGAGCCCAAGAGATGGCCCAGTGTTTAGCCAGGGAAGGAGATGAGCAGCTGGGTCAGGGAAGGCTGAGAGCCGGTTGAAGGTATTTTTATTCTCACAGTAGGAGAGACGGATGGATTTTTTTTTCTCCACACATCTGATATCTCTGCCACCTGTACAGACTTGTGGGACTTGTGAGATGGGCTCTGTTTTTCTTGTTCAGCACTGCGGGTTCTGCTCTGTGAGGCCAGGCAGGTGGCAAGTAGGCCTGCCTGGGGGGCTTTCTAAGCCAGGGAGGTCTGTTCCTTGCAATGACCTGAGAAAAGGGGAAGGAAGCGCAGCTGTTTCGAAAGCTTGGTTTCTTGGGGAAGCCTGGGACTCTGTGATCAGCTCTGGAGGGTATGGTCTGGACCTCTGGCATCGTCAGAAGGATTCAGCAGAAGCTTGATTTGGGGCACATCCTTGTTGGGTCATATAGCCATCTGTCTCCTGGTGTAAGCTTGGTGACTCCTCTCCATTCAGCTCCCCTTACTTCTTCCAGAAAACTTCCTCAACTCCATACTCTTCTGTTTGCTGGGTGTCTGAGTCCTTCTACTTTGTAATGCCTAAGACGGGAGAATGTGTGCAGAGAGAGAGACATGCCATAGATTGCATCTCATCTCTGAAGAAGTCCTGGGCTCCAGCTCTTCTGTGGATGGCTCTGTTTGGTCCCTCCTTGGTCCTCATGCATGTCCTGAGCCCCAAGGCTTCATTATCCATCCGGATGACTAGCATGGCATCTCCACTATACACCAGACCTCATAGTCTCCCCAGGATGCGTTTCTTATCCATCTTGTCTCAGCACATGGCTCGACCATGAAATTTGGAACCCTGGCTGCTGACTGCCCTCACTCCCACATCTCCCCCTCTGCCAGTGTGCTCTAGTCCTATGCCCTTAAGCGCCCTTGAGTGGGTCATAACGCACTCAGGATGCCCCACCCACTGAGATTCTGGCTTCTGTCTCCCGTTACTCACAGTCTCAGCTGCCCCCTTTCCTCTTTACATTCAACACAGTGCCTCCCAGGCAGTGGGCACTGTCTCCATGGCTTGCCTTCAGCCTCCTCAGAGAGCCAGGCTAATCCTGTGGTTCATGGTCCACTGCTGGGCAGGCTGTAGGCCATGCCTGGCTGCTTTCCTGGTTGGCAACAGGGAGAAGGTGGTTCTCTAGCAGGGTGACCCAGATTTTCTATTGGGCTGTGTCCCCATTGCCTTTACAGACACGCCAACACGCCTCTGCTCCTACTCTGAGCTGGCCAAATGAGGACCCTAGGCTTCACCCAGAAAGGAGCTGGCTAGGTGGTGTCTGTGGCCTGTAGCTGACCTGTGTGTCTCCCGTAGCTGTGGCTCAGTTTTGCGCCTGTGGCAGACACCATAGCACAACACTTCTTCCTGTCCATGGATCAGGTCAACTGGCTGTCACTAGTCTACCTTGTGGTATCCATCCCATTTGGCATGGCCGCCATCTGGGTTCTAGACTCTGTTGGGCTCCGTGGAGCGGTAAGTCAGATCTCGTCCCATACCTATATGGGGTGGATGGGACTCTTTGACTCTGGGTGCAAGAGCCCAGTCTCTTCAGATTAGACTCCACCAGTCTTACCAGCTGGGCTACCCAGGCAAAGCAGCTTGCAGAGGAGGCGGGGCGGGGGGGCAGCAGGCAGGTAGATATTGGGGTTTTCCTATAAGTTAGGGACAGGCATCTGGGTGTGGAGGCTCTGGGCTGGCACACAGTTTTTGATGGTTCATTCCTGCAGACTATCCTGGGTGCATGGTTGAATTTTTCTGGGAGTTTGCTGCGTGCTGTTCCCTGCTTGGATGTCAGGATCCCCAATCCCTTTGCTTTCTTCGTGAGTGGCCAGAGCCTCTGTGCCCTGGCCCAGACCCTGGTCGTCTGTTCTCCAGCCAAGCTGGCTTCCTTGTGGTTTCCAGAGCACCAGCGAGCCACAGCTAACATGATCGGTACCATGTGTGAGTCCTGGGATGGGACCTCTGCAACCTGGGCTCAGCTCACAGGCTCTGCTGGATGTCTGCACTGCTCCCCAGCTGGCAAAGGCCTGGGTGCTTGAACCAGGAAGGATTCAGCCCAAGGACTGGGGTGAGGCCTGTCACAGCTGAGCTGATACACTGATTTGTTGCTGTTGTTTTTTAATCCAGCAAACCCTCTGGGCATCCTTATGGCAAATGTGCTGTCCCCTGCCCTAGTCAAGAAAGCAGAAGACATCCCTATGATGGTGAGGGGCTCATGATTATATTGCATATGGCATGTGTGAGCTTGAGCGTGTATACACACACACACACACACACACACACACACTTATATACATACACTTGTATATAGTAATCTGGCAATTGTGCCAGTGTATGGTCTATGAACATATATATTTGGTGTATACCGACGCTTGTTGGTAAGGCACACCTTGGGTGTGTTAGCATGATTTGCTTCTTGTGTGGGGATGAGTTTGGAGCCTTGGGAAGTTGGGCTGATGTTATCAAGGAGAAGATCACCCTTGAGTGGTGTTCTGAAGGCTGGGTTCTATGCGAAGCTGTGAAGAACAGCGGAGGGTAGAGTGACACAGCCCCCAGAGGACGAAGGTTTGCTGACTCTCTGGAGGCAGGGGGCAGCTGGTGAGGGGAGAAGAGCAGACTGAGACAGGAAGGGCACTTGCATCCGTGCGACTTCTTGGTGACACTCAGAACCTCTCCCCAGCTTGGCGTCTACACTGTCCCCGCTGCCGCTGCCTGTCTGTTGGCCACTGCTTGCCTGTGGGAGAGTGTGCCTCCTACCCCACCATCGACAGGGGCTGCCAGCTCTAATTCAGAGAGTTTCCTCCGTGGGCTCAAACTGGTAGGTTAATGTGGATTCCGGGGGCGGGGAAGCTGTGGTCAGAAGCCTGCTAGGGCTCCTGAGTTAAGGGCTGTTTTTCTCTCTAGCTCGTACAGAATAAGGCCTACATTATCCTGGCCATATGCTTTGGTGGTGGCATTGGTATCTTCTCTAGCTTCTCAGCCCTCCTGGAGCAGATCCTTTGTGCCAACGGCTACTCCAATGTAAGTAGGAGCCCCGCCTAAGGAGTGGGCTCTGCCCCCGCCACTGTTACTGCTCCTGAGCACTCCATTCACCCCTGATGGAGATGACACCCTCTCATGGAGGCAGCAGTCGCAGCCTGTGTCGTGACCCCTGCCTCCCGGCACAGTGGCGGGTATGGGTGTCTCGTGGGCCATAAGCATGCGCCAGGGTGTTTGGGGTGTCTGTGGCGACGCCCCTTCCCTTTAGTGGGATACACATTGAAGAAAATCCATCTTAGAAGGCAGCTTGACCGGGCTGTCTACCTTGCTCCTCTCAAACTGCCCTAGTGTGGCTCCCTGCCTCCCAATGGTTCTCAGCTTTCCCTCCCCACTTCCAGGAGTTCTCAGGCCTCTGCGGAGCCCTCTTCATTGTGTTTGGGATTTTGGGGGCACTGCTTCTAGGCCTATATGTGGATCGGACCAAACACTTCACTGAAGCCACCAAGATAGGCCTCTGTCTGACTTCCCTGACCTTTGTGGCCTTTGCTCTGGTGAGACTTAGGAACAAAGACTGTCTACCCAGGATGGAGGGACACCATGGCAGGCAGGTGGGTGAGGGGCAGGAGGTTCAGTGGCGGCTTGCCAAGAGCAAGCACCTCAGTGTCAAGCCTGTTCTCTGCCTGAGGGTGTCTCTGGCTAGGACTGGCCCTACTGCCACACTGTGTCAGCCAGTCTAGGAGCTCAGCGGGGGAGGTACCTTGTCTCAGTGCCGCCCTGTTCCATCCTTCTTTACCCCTTGTTTGTGTCAGGTGTCCCAGCTG